AGAGAAGCATTACTAACAAAGTTTTGGTCAAAGTAGTACAGTCATCCACTCTGACTACCAGTCCCCACAATTTTCTTCTGTAGACAGTCCTGAATATAACATTTTGTTTCATCAAAACTTATGAAAACTTTATTGTCTCTTGTTAATTTGTGGACAGACAGAAGATTAACATTGAATTCAGGGACGACAAGGACATCAAATAACACCACATTATTAGAAAGTCTTAAGTTCCCAATTCTTTTTATGTTGGCTTTAGTCCCATTAGGATGGGAAACTTTAAGGTTTAAATCCGTAACATCAACCATACTTTCTAGGTTTTGAAAATTCGAGGTCATCTGTTGGTTGGCTCCAGAATCTATTATCCAGCCAGAGTTAGAGTTTTCAAACATACCTGCCATATTGGCGCAGGCATCATCGAAGACGATGGTATTGGAGGGAGTTTGACCAATAAGCTCAATATTTTAGTGACTTGATCATCTGAAAAACTGAAGGGAGACTTTTGAAAAATGGAGGTAGAATCAGATGTAGAGACATTTCCAGAAATAGACTTAAGATTTGAATTTTGAAATTTTGAATTCTGAAATTGATTTGAATTAGAGGAAAATCTCGATATGTTTGAAAAATCTTTAGGAAAACCGATCAGTTTAAAGCATCGCTCAATGGTATGACCAGAAACACCACAATGTTTACAAATCAAATTTGAAGGATTCCTTCCTGGTCTTTTTTTGCTTTCAAAACCTTTACTTAGAAAAGCTGAATTTTGAGATTTAGTCCTGTTTTGGTGTGAGTTAGCTCCTCTATGAGACTCCTCTCTGGAAACCAAGGAAAAAGCAGTTTTAACAGAAGGGAGAGGGTCTCTCGTTAGGATGTTGCACCTAATTGGTTGGTAGCTGTCATCAAGCCCCATAAGAAATTGCATCAACTTAATAAGCTGACTATGTTCAGTAAAGTCATGTGAAGCATTACAGGTACAGGACGGGAGTTTAACCAGGGCGTCAAATTGCTTCCACAAGGAATTTAACTTGTGGTAATATTCAGAGACGGACATGTTATTTTGGCTTAATGAATTGATTTTTTGATTTACGTTAAAAGTAACAGATCCGTCAACCTTGTCGTAAGTTTCTTTCAATTCTTCCCATACATGAGAAGCTTGTTTTGAGAAGACTTGCCCAAGGAACAAGTCCTCAGTCATAGAGTTTAATATCCACAAAAGAACAACAGAATTACAGCGATCCCATTGTTTTTCAAGAATGAGATCGTCAACCGGACGGGGACATGAACCATCGATAAAACCCAATTTGTTCTTAGTTTCAAGGGCTAACACCATGGCACAAGACCAGACTTTATAATTCTCGGTACCACTTAGTTTAAATGATAAAATGGAAACTCCACTAGTATCGCTTGGATGTAAGTATAACGGATCTCCAAAGTCCAATTTGGTGACTCTAGATTCCATTGTACTCGAAGTTCCAGTAGATACTTGAGGGGAAACCATTTGGAAAGCAGAAAACACACAAGGAGACTGAATTGCTTAAAGACAGGATTCCTAAAACACTTCAGAGTGCTAGGTCAAGCCAACAAAACAGTTCCAACAAGAGAGAAGAGCAAAAAAAAAAAAAACACACAAAGAAAGCAAACTTATCACTACACAAACAAGAACACACTTACCACAAAATCCTTTACAAGATTAAAGGATGAATACCAAACAGAACACGCCTTGAAACTCAAGCCTTTTATTGTACAATATCAGATGAACAATTATCAGAKGGTAARGCCAGAACATACCTGAACAAATAGCGCGGATTAAGAACGCATATAAAATCAGATCTGAAAACACACAGATCGTGACCAACAACAGATCAAGGCTAAAACACATATAAGATGAATATTATGGGTTAATAAAAAAGAACAGGATCTGGAGCAGGACACAGATCAGTAATAAAAAAAAAGATCTGGAATTAAGGACACAGATCTCTAATTGCAAGATCTGGAAATAAGGACACAGATCTCTAATGACGAGATCTGGAAGTAAGGACACAGATCTCAAATATACTAAGAAAACCATTCATATTCATCTAAACACAAAAGGTGATATGGACATGGACACAGATCAAGAATGCAGTAACAATAACAAGATCTCGAGAGGGGACCATAACATAAATGGTACATCCCAATCGATCATATCAGAATATAACAGAGATGAAGAAAACAGAAACCAACAAGGTTTCAAGAAAAGAACAAATAGATCTCGAAAAGGTACCACAAATTAGTGATACAATCTAATCGATCATTTCATTTTAAAAGCTCAAAAGGGAAAAGACGAAGAATATCATGGAAAAACTTGCTTCGTAAAAAGAACATAAACTTCTTAAAAGACGAAGAAGATTTGACCAGTCACGTATTCTTCATATTCATACAGAGATTAAGAAAAAAGTTATAGATGCGTACCTTTCGCTCTGATACCATGTTAAACACATTGGATTCAAATATTTCATGTTTATCAAGTTTAACAGATGCGATACAGAAACATAAACTAACGAAAATATAACTACAACCTAAACTACTGATGGAAAACATAAATAGACTAATGAAAATACTAACAGTAACCTGTAGAACATATGAAGATATGAAGAAGATATGAAGATTAAGAATAKATCTTCAACCGTAAGATCTTCAATCGTAAGAAAGAGAGAGAGAGAGAGAGAGAGAGAGAGAGAGAGAGAGAATATTTGAGAGAAACCCTAATTGATTTGAGCTAAAATGTGTATGATGGTCTTCTAAGCCCGRCTCCTCATCTCTTTATATATCTTTAAATTTGTCCAGATTTGCCCCCTCAATTCTCTAAATATTTGCTCCGCTAACCTCCATATATGGCATAAAGTGAAGCGCAGCCCTTGTACTTGATGTCACCTCTCAGCCTTTTAATATTTGCATTATCTACTCAACTCTGTTAACATATTGACAAACCAGGAACATTCAAAGTAAAGTCAGACAAGTCAAGATTGGATAATACATACATTTTAACAAAGGGTGACCAAACGTTGGAATAGAATTTGGTACCGAATTGACCATTCCAATTCCATCAAATTCCGTCAGATTTCGACTAACCAAACACCCCCTTAGATTCATGGATTTGGTCATGTCATGTCATTTTCACTCCAAAAGTTGTGCTATAATAGAGATTTTGATGGTTTAATAGAAGTTTTTTTTTTCTTAATAGCTATGTTATATTGTGTATGGTAAAATAGAAAAAGAAAAAATAATATGATTTTTTTAAAAATTTAGAGAAATCTGAGGAATATATTATTTTATATGTTTTCCACCAATATAATAAAGAAATCTTTAAAAGTTGCTCACTTGCATCACTGGTGTTTTATGGAATTTTGTAAAATTTGTGTATAATAATGTTTTAAATATGTTAAAAGAAATTTATTTTGTAACAATACTTTATTAAAAAGATAATTTAATTATTTTTATAATTATTTATAAAAAACGAAATTTATTTTCATTTTAAATTCTATAAATCAAACATATCAAAGATTCTAAATCCTTCAAAACCGGTCTATCAAACCAAAAATCCACTGATATACTTTAAAATTTGTTAGTGTAACATGTGGGTGGAACGTCAATTGGGGGCAAAATCAAAGATTATGCATTGTCTTAAATGGATATATCTAGAAATTGGAATTGCTTTCTCTGTTTTGTTTTGGGTTATGGATTTGTGTTAAAAAAACATATTTCTTTTGTTTCACAGATTTTGAAGTAATTTGATGGAATTGGAATGTTGTGTTTCATTGACCAAATTTTATTCTCTTATTTGATTCATTTTTTTTTCATGAAATGAATCTTCAAAATTCTACAAATTTCACAAAAAGAAATTTAACATTTTTTAGCAACTACATGATATTTTGATAGAATTGAATTCTCTATTTTCATAATACCATATATACCCTTAATCCAGTAAAGCACTACAGACCACCACCGATCTGAACCACTGACGACTACCACCAATTTGAACTACCGTTCATCTGAACTACCACTTACCACCTCCATCTGAACCACCGTGAACCACCGTCGATTTGAACCATTTCCAACCACCGCTATCTGAACCATTGCCGACCACCACTGATCTAAACCACCTTCGACCACCACCGTTCTTACCACCGTTGATTTAGTAACATCGTTTGGCTTACGGTTATATTTGGGTTGTGTATTTATATTGTTTTACATATTAAATAATATTAAAGTATTTTTAGTGTTAAAAAAGTTAAAATTTTCAAAAAAGGACATCAATATTTCATTCCAATTCCAAAGCTACATTTTGTAAACTAAACAAACAGATTTCAATTTTTTAACAGATTCCATTCCAATGTCAGTCAACTAAACAGGTGATCAAATCTGACAACATTTCATTCCAATTCCTTTAAAGTCAAATTCTTTTAACAAATTTCATTCCATCCAAAAACATTTTGCTAACCAAACGTCACCTTAGTCTAAACAAACTATTTACTTGTTAGCTTTTTCAAACTTATATCATTTTAGGATTATATATATTTCTTGTTTCATGGTCCATTTTGAGACCAAACTGGTTTTAAGATTAGGTTTTGTTATTTTAGTGAAAGTTCAATGGCTATGACTAAGGGGCCGTTTACTAAATGCTTACTCGGTAAGTACTTACAGGGTAATTTTCCTCACCGGATGAACATGGCAAGAGCCAATAATCTTACCCAGTAAGAGCGATGATAAGGATTGAGAGTCTTATCCGATGAGGGTGACGACTCTTACCCGGATAAGCGCTTACGAGATAAATTGTTGCATATGATACGTTTTGATGTACTACAATCTTACCAAATAAAATAAATTATAGTGTTGACTCCTAACATTAAGCACTTACCGGGTAAGCATTTAGGTAAACGACCCCTAAGCTAATATAATGCAGCAGCCATTGGGTGTTTATAAATCTTTGTTACTACAATTGAACAAATGCCAAAGAGACTATGAAAGAGAGGATAAATAAACTAATTAAACTTCAATTTGAATCCCAAGTTTGTCAGATATAAATGATGGGGTGGTGCAAACATAATAATAATAATAATAGTTTTACAACTCAACTCAACTCAACTTTTAGTAAAAATGAAACCTGAACCTGAGAAAAAGTTTTAAGTAAATATGGTGGTGACCTTCATCCATACCTTCAAAAAACAGACATGAACAAGGACCACACTATTTACACTCTCAATGCTGCTCTCACTCTTCATCTTCATCTTCATCTTCATCTTCATCTTCAAACAAACCAAACCACAACACCAGCATCCCAAACAAACACCTGTCCAAACATTTCATGGTCAGCTCACCAACTTACTTGTATGCATTCTGTGATTACCTTGATGGAAAAAGCAATAAGAGAAGTTGGAAACCATGAACACAAGTTTGTATGTGTTGTTTCTTATATATAATTATTATGTTTATGTGGGACACCCAAAAGCTAGTCCTATATATACACATACATATATATACACATACATATATATACACATATATATATATATATATATACATATACATATATATATATAGGATGGGTGATCAACCATAAAAGCAGTATGAATGTGATGGAAAAAAACTGATTTAATTTGACATCAGCAGCCACTTACCTCCTATGCTTTTTTCCTTGTAGAGACGAACAGTCGGCTTCTCCATCTCCCGAGTCTGATCCTATTTGGTAAAAAGATAAACAAAGCCATTGAAAATATAGTCTTTTTATGTCATTTTAAGAGCCTGCTTTAATTGGGCAAGTGCTGCAGGATGCATTCTACCCATGGCAGTATTGAAGGCCTCCCCATGTAAGCTAGCACATGTTTGCAGGTTTTCCCTCACCAACTTCTCCAGTGACAACTGATTTATAGGATCTGAGATTTTTATCTGCTACCGCAACCAACCCATTAATATACGACAGAATATACTTTAATTTTAAATCCATAATCATATATATATATATATATATATATATATATCTACTATACATACCTGTCTCCTCCTGTATTCTTTACTTGGAAATTGAGGTCGGCTAGAGCTCATACTATCACTGCTGCAATTTTAGTACAAACCAAAACATGGAAATTTTTTAATTTTACTTCAAAAAACAGAAGAGTATTTATTTAGTTCCACAAGCATCAAACTTACCTAGACTCGTCTTCAGTAGTGTCTTCACTTCCACCCAATATAACACTTGTACATACACTGTCATGGATAAAATATGTTTTAACAAAGATATTTCATATGGTTCTAGAATTATGATCCATGAAATCATTGGTGAACTACTTACCTTAGTATTTGATCTAATTTATCAAGTACTTGAGGCAACCTTAATGTCAGAATTATAGAAAGTGCAAATCCAAATGTCTTTTTCTGAATATAATTTACATTGTCAACCTGTAAAAACAGAGACCAAATCATTAAGAGTCGAAAAGCAATTTAGTGGAAATGTTTGCCCTTAACACTTCTTAAGAAAAGCATATGGTCAATTAGACAACTATTATTTTCTGGCGAAATGCTTCTTTTTCAGTTTGATAAAGTCCAACATGGAACAACATTATATAGGCCTACTTTTTCCCTTGATGAACTTTTCCTACAAATCATAGGTAAATTATGGGACTATTTGGTCTTTTCATTTGAAAGTTAAGGAACTATTCCTGCTGCCTTCTGTCTTTTTCTGGTTCAAAAATGACTTTCGTCCTTACCATCAAGACTAAAATTGTTTTACACTACATACAAGGTTGCTCTGCTAGCTTGGGATAAAAGTCTTGTTTTTTTATCTTGATTGAATTTCATATTTCCATTAACTATCTAGATGACTACATTCTACTTCACTCGTTATTTTTTTTTAGATTAATAAATCAAATTATTTCGAGTATTTCAAAGGATGAAGCTTTAACTGGATTGAAGACCGGCCAATCTCCTTTTACTTTCTTCTTCATAGTTCTTCGAAGAAAAAATAATTCTACTTTCAACCCTTCGGGTCCTGATTAAGATGAACCTTCTAGTCATTGGATCTTAATCTCAACCACAACATATTACCATTTTCACCCCTTTAGGTCCCTACAACCTTAACGCAATCCACCTTTACCCCTAAATCATAACTTTTAAACGACCTCTTAATTATAGTGATCAAATTTTATAGACGAACTACAAATCCAATTGTTTATGTGATATATTTTATTCCCACCATCCAAAACAAATACATTTTGTGTTTGACTGATATTCAAATATCCAAAAGTCATTATAAACATTTGTAATGATACTAACGGCCAAGTAGGTAAAAGTTTGTCTAGAGAAATAAAAGTAATCATATAGCACCGATAATTAATGTTTACCAAGTACTAACCTTGTCAAGCCAAATGTCAACCAGACAAAGAAGTATGTTCTCCCCAACAGGGAAACCAGCATTCTGAAGGAGCTGCACAAGTGATGGTTCTGATGCTAACTGAGCCAGAAAATTGGTATTTGTTACCAAAATCCTAGCCAGGGTGGCTGCTGCAGATGCCTTTACAGCTGTACTCGTAGGAACACGGTCATCTCCCGTTAAGCATATAACGATCATTTTCTACCATATCATTCAAACACATAAAACTCCATCAACCTCTCTCTCGCTCAACCAGTTATAGAGAAAAGAAGTAAATAAAAAAAGCAAAAACACACACAGAGAGTATACCTGGAGGGCACTGCTGATCAACTGTGGCCCATCAGAAGGAGAACACTGTCAATAGCAAAAGAGGTCTAACTATTATAAATCTAACAGATAAACTCTGGAAATTATAAATCTAAAACTCTTCAATTAACATACATACCTGAATCAGCACATCAATAACAGGTAGGATTGAAAGTAAACCTCTATCATTTACATTTCCCACCACCAGATCAAAAAGCTTAGCAACACTTGAAGCATGCATACTGAGAAATTCAGGTCCGCCTAAAATTATATAACCTTCGATAATAGAGGCAGCAACCTATAATTCACAAAAACCAAAATTGTCATGCTTAATTTGCTGAGCAGATAGGGGAGAATCAAGACTAGAAACAAGCTATCATTTAAACCTTCAAGTGATCAAAACTTCTTTCCAGTATATCCACCAAAGATGGGAAGTATCCCAACATCTGTGGGGCCATTGAGGGGGCATTAGAAATGGTGGCTTCCCATAACTGCACAGGTGATGTAACCAAATTAGTTACCAACAGAATGAATAAGAAGTTGACTAAGCTACATTCTTCGTCCCTGTGGTTGTTAAAAATTGCTACATTCGTCCTTGTGGTTTACAATTCATTGCTGTTTTCATCCCGCATATTTTTAACAGTCAACCACTAACGGAATTAGCCTCTGGGACGAAAACAGAAATCAATAGCAAACTACAGAGACGAAAACCGTAACTCCGAAAGCACGGGGACAAAAATTGAATCTTTTAACAAACCAAAGGGACAAAAAATGTAGTTTACTCTAAGAAGTTTCTTATTGCTACGGGAAGAGAAGATTGAAGTACCTGCATACTGTCCTCAAGAAGTTCATCTGGGCTATTAACATCAAGTCCACTAACTAAAATGGGCAATAGCACACTGTAGCACATAGGGGACTTGTAGCCAAGTGCAACTACAAAATTCCTGAGGGCAGTTAGAAGCTGAATCTGCAGAAGACTTTCACCTGAAGATTCCTCCCAGGACTTGAAAAGGCAGAAGTTTCAGTTCGGCAAAGTGAGTATATGGTAATACATATAAATGTTCAACTAAAAGGGAAACATAGTGAAGCCATAGTCCTACACATACACCTGATTGCTTCAAAAATAAAAATAAAATTTATAAACTGATTTAACATTTTTACCAAAATGAATTACAATTTAGTAGGGATTAAATACCTTCTGAAAGAACTGAACCAATTCATTGGCGTACGGAATGATATCACCAACATAAGCAATCAATACAGAGATTGTGTTCAAAACTTGAACCTGATAATCAAAAGAACAATATAGAGAACTCAATTGAAAAAAATTGTCAGAGAAAGCAATTAGAAATCTACATCAAAGAAGTCCATTTTCATAAACCTAGAACATGAGCCATAACTAGATTTGCAAATAGCATCCATCTAATTTCTATCTACCGCTGTAAATACCAGATAACTGTACATCTCCAATGAAACAAACCCATCTTCAAAAAAGTTCAAGCAGCCGAGTTTAAAGGGCACACTACACATGTTGCATTTCTCTAATAGTTCATCATCAAAGAAGTCCTAAGCTACTAAAAGTTTCTTGCACTTTGCTTCTGGTTCTTTGACTTTTACCCCATTTTTTGGCTTATGGTTCTTACCCAAGTTCAGAGAGAGAGACGGTCTGGCCGTATAAATAGTTAGTCTTGCATAAACAAGAAGCCAATTACTTGGAAATTGCAAAAGGTCAAGCTCCTATCAGATCAGCATTTTCTTCAAAAACTTCAAGCAGTTCTGATTGATGGATACAAATTTCATACATGTTCATAATGAAATGCTCAAGAAGAATTTTTTTTTACTGTGACTAATGTTTAAATTGCAAGATACAAATTGAAGGCATCACAACGACAACATTTTACGAAATTTGAGGTTTTTTAGTATACCCAGTTTGGGAACTGCAAAAGGTTAACCACATATAGAATCTCCTCACCAGCTTCATGTAATGTTGACATGAGCATATAAAATGCATATAAATCTCAATTGTTCATATCAACTGCAAACAAAAGAAAAATTCCTACTACTACTGTCAGCATCTTACTAGTTGAAGCCTCAATGACAAATTACAAGTGCTGTAAGTTACTATGTAAACCCACTTATTGTACAATGCACATATATCCAACCAGCCACTCCACCAAGATTAAATAATATATGCAACTCCATGGCTTGCTTCACTTTCAATGTGGATTTATTTTGTTATTCCTAGTTTCATGAACCTTCTACATGATACTATTAGCTGTAAATTAGCTGTATCTTTTTTAGAATTAGTCTTATGTACTTTAGGTTGTTATTTGATAAATGATCCCCCCTAAATGAGTGGAGATCAGTTCCTGATTTGTAGCTTCTCCTTTGTATTTATATTCAAATGTTTGTGAATAAAAATCATCTGGGGAAATACATTTGCTTTCATGGTATCAGAGCTAGGCTCGATACCCTAGCTCTCGTTCTTCTCAAATCACCGAAGATCAAACCACGGTTTGATTTCTTCTCTGCCATCACCTTCTAGTTACTATCCATTGCTGACAAGCCTGAAAATGTCACCAAAACCCTTCACCCCGTTTACACCGTGACCAACATTCAACACAAGGTCTAGGTGCTTGATGGTACGAAGGTCTCATACTCTGCGTGGGTCAAGTTATTTCAACTACATGCCAAGGGATACAAAGTCATGTCACACATTGACAGAACACCGCCTCCGGCCAAAACTGATGCAAAGTATGAAGGATGGACTGAAATTGATGCGAATGTATCGTAATGGTTTTACGTAGGGGTGTTAAAAAAAAAACCGTTGGACCGCTCAAACCGGCCGAACCAAGTCAAACCATACTGTTTTTGGCGGTTTGAGCGGTCTGGCGGTTTTGGTCTGGTTTGAAAAATAGCAAAATCGGGCGGTCTGGTCCGGTCTGCGGTCTAGAACCTTGCCAAATGCATATACATACACACACATACACACACACACAGATATATATATATATATATATATTATAGTATTAGCAAGCCCAACTTTTTTAACTTATGGGCTATGACCCAAATATATCCCTAAGCCCCACATAAAGTCTAACATAATCAAATCCAAATGAATCGACGCCTAAAAATCCCTAAACCAGTAAACATCGACACATTTGACATTGACGGTCTCCAAATTTTGAAATCTCTCAAGAACTCTATCAATCTATCAATCTTTCCTAATCCATGGCTTCTATTTTGTTGGGTCAAACTCAAGACACAAGAATTGAAGGTTGTGAAGTCGTGGATTTTGTTACTCAATACCCACAGTGGAGTTGTAACTTTGTTAATTTGTTTGTTTTCTAATATGTATTAATTTATTTGTTTGGACTTCGGATTGCTTGGATTTTGGACTCAAGAGCTACTTAATTATTACATTTATTTGTTTGGATATTTTGTTTTGTTAAAACGGATATTTAATCTAAAATTCTAAATTATATATGTTTTTTAAGTTTAATATTTAAAGTCCATTAAAGGCTTAAACTACCTAAACTGGTCAGACCAAACCGTCTTTTCGTGGTCAGATTTGACGGTTTTGGGCACTTGATATCAAACCGCTCGGTTTGAAAATTTTATAAACCGCCATTACGGTTTGGTTTATGGTCTGAGGGGTTAAACCGCCCAAATTGGACCGTGAACACCCCTAGTTTTACGGGACGTTGTCCGATGATTTACTGGTTAGTGTCTTGGTAACCGAGTCAACTGCCCACGAAGCCTGGTCTCGAATCAAAGCCATTTTCCTCAACAACAAGGACTCTAGGGCGGCGGCCCTAGAGCATGAATTCAATAACCTCACATTAAAATCCATGCCGTCTCTTGAATATTACTGCCAAAAACTCAAGGAACTGGGCAGTAAACTCAATGACGTGGATTGTCCGGTTAATGATCAGAGGCTCGTTCTTCAACTTGTTAGAGAACTTCTGGCAGAATACTACAAGGCGGCCTCGTATATCAATCGAAGTCTTCCCACGTGGGAGACTGCATGTAGTATCCTTGAGTTGGAACATCACAGACAAAATGCCCGAGAAACCATGTCTACACAGACTGCTATGGTTGCTATTTCCTCAAAACCACCACATGATCCTTCAAACTATGTCAACTAAAGACGCCCCAATAACTCCTCCAGCAGTTCCAGCGGTTCCTCCTCAACAGTCCCTAGGCATGGTTCAGGCCAGCCTCAGTTGACTCGGTCGCCATGGAACTCTCAGCCTAATCGGCTGCCCAATTGGGCCTATTGGACCCCGCCGCCATGTCCGTATCCCACCAACTCTGGATGGGCCTCTCCTTGGGCTGGATCTCCTATGCCAGCCTGGCCCACACCTCAAGGCCCACCTGCACATTGCAAGTCAAGCCAAGACCTCCTGGCCCAGCAGCGAACCAGGCTAATCTCACTGCCTTTAACCCCTTGAGCCAACTCAGCTTGGCGAAGCATTTCAGACAATGACCATGGACCCGGTTGATGATCAATGGTACATGGACTCGGGTGCAACAGACCATCTCACGGGCGACCAAGGTAAGATTTCTAAACCCTCGTTAAATTGTCCCATTGGCTCAATATTTGTTGGTAATAGTGCTCCTATGCCGGTTCGTGGATCGGGTTCCTCCACCATTCCAACAACCACATGTAACCTACACCTAAACAACATTCTTTACACACCCAACATCATTAAGAATCCCATTTCTATTCGTAAACTTTTTGTTGATAATGATGTTTCCATTAAATTTGATCCCAATGGGTTTTCTGTGAAGGATTACCAGAGTGGTCAGATGCTGTCCCACCACAATAGCTCGAGCCGTCTATATCCTCTCACCTATCCGGTTACCAACTCCACTTTTTTCACCTCCAGTGCTCGAGACGTTTGGCATGATCGATTGGGACATCCCGGTCTTCCTATTTTGGATTTTCTTAGTTTGAATAATATTATTCCATGACTAAAACGTAGTAGATCTTTGGTTTGCAATTCTTGTCAGCTTTCAAAGCACAAACGATTACCGTTTTCCGATTCTAATTCTACTACTATTTTACCGTTTGATATTGTTCATTGTGACTTATGGACATTTCCTGTCCCCAGCAAAACAGGTTATAAATACTACATGGTTTTAATAGATGATTTCACACAATATACTTGGGTTTTTCCAATAAAATTCAAGTCTGAAACATTTTCCAAATTCTCTCAGTTTCATAAATACATCCAAACTTCAATCTCACAATTAAAGCTTTTCAATGTGACTTAGGGGTGAATTCGATAACCAAAATTTCAAATCTTTTGCTGAAACAAACGGTCTACTTTTCCGCTTATCTTGCCCTCACACTTCCCAACAAAATGGGAAATCCGAGCGTATGATTCGTAGACTTAACGAGACCATACTCACTCTTCTCACACACGCATCTCTCCCACCCCATTTCTGGGTTGAAGCATTACATACCGCATGTTATCTCCACAACATTTTCCCCACCAAACTCTTAACATTCACCACCCTATGGCTGCTCTTTATCATCGACAACCTTCCTATGACCACCTACGGGTTTTCGGGTGTGCGTGTTATCCTAACACAACCTGCGACACGGAAAAGCAAGTTGAAACACCGGTCCACTCGTTGTATCTTCCTCGGGTACCCCGCCAATTTTCGAGGGTATCAGTGCCTTGACCTTTCTTCCGGCAAGGTCCTCCTCTCTCGTCCCATCACTTTCGACAAAACACATCTTTTCCATTTTCTGAAGATCATCCCACCGCACCCTTAGACTACTCATTCCTCAAGTCTTACCCATTTCCTACCATCTTTGACCCACCAACAACTTTACATTACAACCTACTCCCCTGCCAACTACCCAGAACTCTTCTGCCCAAAACACTTCCCCGTCTACCACTCTTCAACAGCCCCCTCTTATCCCATACTACCACCGCCGGAAACACAGCCACCAGTCACCACAACCCCCCAACTGCCCTCCTCACCCCACCACAGCCTCCACCACCTCCCCCACCGCCACCACCACCCGCATCAACCCACCCCATGATAACCCGCTCCCGAGCATCCAGATCTCAAACTCCTGTTAACCTACATACTACTGCCCAAACTACAATATCTTGCATACCAACTTCCCACATCAAAGCCCTTTCCGATCCGCATTGGCAAGACACCATGACCGAAGAATATCGAGTTCTAATGGACAATCAAACGTGGGACTTGGTACCTCGGCCTCTTGATGCAAACATTATTTGGTGCATATGATTGTTTCGTCACAAGTTTAACGCAAATGGCACCTTACAGCAATACAAGGCCCGGTTAGTTGTTAACGGGAAATGTCAACAGGTCAGAATCGACTGTGATGAAACATTTAGTCCCGTAGTCAAACCGACCACAATCAGAACGGTGCTCAGTCTAGCTGTCTCCCGGGGTTGGTCAATTCACCAACTCGACGTTAAAAATGCATTTCTTCACGGGGACTTAAATGAAACAGTATATATGTTTCAACCTCCGGGGTTACCGATACCACTCATCCTAATTATGTATGCAGGTTAAGCAAGTCTCTTTATGGGCTTAAACAGGCCCCTAGGGCATTGTATGACAAATTTGCTACCTACATTACTATGGTTTTTGGAGTACCGTTAGTGACACTTCTCTATTTGCTACAAAAAGGGACATAACATGGCCTATTTACTGTTGTATGTTGACGACATCGTCCTCAAGGCCTCTAATGACCAACTTCTCACTAATATCATTGCTCTTTTATCTCGTGAGTTTGCTATGTCAGATTTAGGAACCCTTAATCTTTTCCTCGGGATCCAAGTTAAACATAAAGACGACAGCTTGTTCCTTTCACAAGAAAATTATGCCACTACCATTCTATCTCGGGATCATATGGCATATTGCAAACCCAGTTCCACTCCCGTTGACACTTCCCCCAAAATGAGTGCAACAAGTGGTAAACTACTACCTGATGGGACACATTATCGCCAACTAGAAGGAGCTTTACAATATCTTACTATCACCCATCTGAATCTTACATATGCGATACAACAAATTTGCTTATTCATGCATGCCCCACGCGATCCACACTTCCAGTTCCTCAAACGAGTTCTCCGTTATCTTAAAGGAACAATTACTTATGGACTCCGTATCTCACTGATACTAACCCAGAAGTCATTAAGTCTAATCTGAATAGGCCAAGAGAGTGGAAAGTCTATTCTAGAAGGGCTAAAAGGGCAATTGTGGAAAGTGGCTAGAAAGTTAGTTATTAGTCTCTTTTAAAAGGGAAGGAGGGGATACGTATTATGCATGTCATTAGTATTTTCTGTTGTATTGGCTCTTTGCATGTTGCATTGAGAGAGGGATTCTCCCTGGATCATTTTGTATTTCCTTTTACTCATAATTCCATCAACTTCCTCTTCCTGAAACTCTCTCTATCATCTTCTTCACTTTTCCTTCCTCTATCATTGAGAGAGGGATTCTCCCTGGATCATTTTGTATTTCTCTATCACCCTCCAAATCGACCCAACTTATTGCATATTCCGACGCCGATTGGGGGAGTGCCCCGACTCTTGCTGCTCCATTTCCGGGTACTGTGTTTTCTTAGGAGATAATTTGGTTTCCTGGTCATCAAAAAGCCAGCCAACCATATCTCAATCAAGCGCTAAGGCAGAATACCGTGGGGTTGAAAATGCAGTTGCCGAAACAAGTTGGCTCCGCAACTTACTTCTTGAACTTTATGTTCCCACTCGCAAGGCTACAGTTGTTTACTATGATAATATATTGGTTGTATACTTATCTGAAAATCCCGTACAACATCAGCGTGCAAAACATGTGGAACTTGATATTCATTTCGTCAGAGAAAAGGTCAGAATTGGTGCAGTCCGGGTTTACATGCTCCAGCCGATTTTCAGTACGCCGATATCTTCACAAAAGGGCTACCACGTCATCTTTTCCACCGTTTTCGGTCCAATCTGTGCATTCATCCTTCTACTGCTTAGACTGAGGGGGTGTATTAGCTGTAAATTAGTTGTATCTTTTTTAGAATTAGTCTTATCTATTTTAGGTTGTTATTTGGTAAATGATCCCCCTAAATGAGTGGAGATCAGTTCTTGATTTGTAGCTTCTCCTTTGTATTTATATTCGAATGTTTGTGAATAAAGATCATCTGGGGAAATACATTTGTTTTCAGATACAAGAGTAGCCTAGAACATGGTAGAGTAATCTTCATGATCAAAGCACTTGGGCAGACACAATTTGCTCTCAAACTAGGGATAGACAATTGAGCAACCATGACATATATTTACAAGCATACAAGCTCTCGTGATGACCAAGGGATCCTTTCAAATAACTAACTTGAATCCGACTCCAGAACTAAATCAAATAGTAATGACATCCCTCCCTATCCCGTAATTGAATAAAAACAACCATTGCACAGATTAATATTTCAAGCAATTGACCAAAAAATAACAATGCTTGCACAGTTTAACTAACTGAGCACATGATATTCATAAGCATCAACAAAATTTTAACTTATAGCACATATTTCTCTTCAGCGTATCCGTACATGTAAACTAAAAATACGGAAACCATAGGCTTTTTCATAGTACAGAGAGAGCTATGTTTTACACGCAGAATGTGAGCACCAACAGACATGTACTCATCCAGTGGCATAAATGAAAATACTTAGTTTTTTCCCCATGAGGACGGAATATGAGATACCATCACAAACTAACATATTAAAGATAATGATATTCCATGGGGAAGGAGGGGAGGTTAAGGGTCTGCTGAAAAGGGCCCAGACCATTGAAACTGGTAAACTAAATTGAAACAAGAAGTGTGTATGTTCAATTTAGGTTTCCACGCCGAATCAAAATAGAAACCAGAGCCGATATTGGGCTTTACTTTTAAGTTGAATAGGTTTCAAACCAATGTCACTTTGTGTATTTGTCTAAAGTTGCAGTTATTTGATGGAATTTGTAGCAGATACTGGTTTAGATGTTTGATTAATGATATTGCTTTGCATTGGTTTTGTGACAATAACAAGAGCAATCATCAAATGTAAACATAAGCAACATTTACCTTGGAATCAAACTCCTGGACATCCTCGACCAATTTAAAAGATAATTTCCAACACACTGGGAGAAGATCAGAAAATTCTTGTTGTGAAAAGGCCGCATCTTCAATATGGAAATACAAGGACCGAGATGCTGCCAACTGAAATATCAAGGATATCAAAGAACAAAGTGGAATTTTTTTATGATAAAAGATAGAAAACGAACAGAAGGTAAGGTATTGAGAACTGTATAGACTGCACCATACCCTGACACACAAGTCCCTGTCCTGTAACAACCTGATCAGAGCGCAATAGACTGGTCGTTTGGTGTCATCTTTAATCTGCAAAAGCATCAAATACATAACACAACTACTTAAGAATAAGCAATATTAAAAAATACCAAATGTGAAAGACTGTCATTAAAAGCAATATGACATAATAAAATTATTTAATGAGCATCGTTAGTGGTAAAATATAGGTGAAGAGTGTAGCTATTTTAACATTTTGGAAGGGCAAAACGATATCCGTGTTACATCTGGTTAAGTTTGTTTGGCAGCCTACGCAATGAAGAGCAAGTAATTTAAAGTTGCTTGTACTTGAGATGATAAAGGGTAGACTGAAAGAGGATATTAGAACGTGGCACAATGAAATTATCTAAGCTTAACACCCCAAATATAAGATATCATTTCCTTTTGAGTAGTATTAGGTTCCAGATCATAAAGGAACTGGCATCTTCTGATGTCAAATTCATATTGCATGATTAAAGAAGGATGAAAAAACCAACAACAACAATTACACCCCAAGTTACCTCAGAAACCCATTGACCAAGAATAAGTGCGACTTTCCTATGTATGATCCGCATGTTGGGATGATCATTTGTGAGTTCTAATGATAAAGCATTGTTAAACCTGCAAAGATTACAAGCAACAAAAAGTATATATCATCTTAAACGAATTCTAGATAGAAAAGAAAAAGGATGACACCAACAACTAAACATGTCACGTAAAAGATGAATGAAATAAGATATCAGGCAAACCACGCCTAGAGCATAGATATACAATGGTAAAGAAGACACACCAGTCCTTGAAGCTGAGATAATTTGATAGCTCATAATAGATGTATGCAGCTGCACCGTAAGCAGCATCTTTTAGAAGCAACCCTGAAGTGATATCAGTTACTGAAGGAGGACAACCATTCATTGCCTCTTGAAGAATAGAAACAACAACAGGACCTAGCAGCTGTAAGTAGAAAATGCAAGCAATCATACATCCAAAACTCTTGCTTTAGCAGCTTAGCTAATTGAAATCGAAAATAATTCAGAAGACCAACAACATATTAACTTAAACCTACTTGACTATGATTGTGAAACAGAACGATGTATAGTGCTTCAGCACACGGCCGTAATTTTTCTGACCAAAGAACTGCATCCTGCTCATGGTGAAAAGACTCGGGGTTCTGATGCCACTCCTCCAAATCGCTTGCTGTTAACACGAAGTACCTGACATGGAAATCGTAGAAAAATTATAAAAATTCAACACTCCTAAGTTGGACTTAATTAGAAAGTAGAAGGATCGAGGGGGGATTAAAGGAAAAATAAAAACATAGAGACAGAAGGTATTACCAGAAATAATATCGAGTTCACTTTATTCTACAGTATAATGGCATCCTAGATAAACTAGTTTAGTAACACAAAGAGCTTACTAAGTCAATTTAAAATCTTAGTAACCATTGTGTAGAATAGATTGAAATTTTAGAACTCACTTAACACATTTAGTTTACATAAAGCATAAGTGAACCTTTTCATGGTTTTCCTTCTTTATCAACAAAAACACAGCTGAACTGTACTAAAGTTCAGTCAATACAATTAAGTAGCAAAACCAATCAACCAGATAGTTGCAAACAATAGAAGTAGATGAATTAATGATGAATGAAATTTGCCTACCTCCTTATTAATACATTACACAAGAGTACGACCCTGTCATTGGGCAAAAGAGACGTGAGTACGCCTGCTACAGCCCCGGAAATGTTTTTCTTTCTCTGCTCGAGAGTGACCACATTCTCATCTATCACCCGTCCAGTCATGATTGGCTTGTATTCCTTGCATTCCAGAACAATTTTTGCCATAGACATACACTGGATAAGAAATTGATCAAATGACATTATCTCTGGTTCAGGATCTGTGATCTTATTTAAACAGAAGTCCATGACTAGTGGGAGGACACACTGATCGCCAAATGAATAAGGATGTCTCATCTGAATTGCGACTAAAATCTTCATCACCTTGGTGCATGCCTTTCTTATAAATTCAAAAAATTTCCGATGGTGTTCCGCGAAAGAGGAATCTGCATATTCATTATAGGATCAGCAAATAGCCTCTTAGAAGAAGTTGGTTATCTTCATCAATTAAGTACATCAGCTGATAAAGGGTGTTATCAAGTATGCTAATTAATATAGAAATTAAAACAGGTGTGAGAAGACTTTAAGATCCAGAAACACCTTTGAGGTCAACGGTGATCAACAAAATTGTATTTCACAAAGATCAAAAGACCAATCGATGCTCCAGCCAAACACTACGGTATTTCCCAATGAAACCGATATAGGCCGTCTTACGCATCAATTAAATATCAATTAATCAAAATATCGACAAGAGTTTTGTAGCTATTTCTCTTAATGGATATATGAAAGCCTTTTACTGGGAAAATGACAGCAACTACACCTGAGTGAATAATACATCAAAAAGATAAGAAACAACCTATGCCAGACTATCCAGAAAAAAGTCAACAAGTGAAAAGACAAGCTATAAGAACAAAACTAAAGAACAAGAAGCATTTAATCCTGAACAAGTCGACATAGGCTAGAAGGAAAAATAAAACCTCAGCTAATAGAAGGACAAAACCTATGTTGCTACATATTTGACTGACACTAATGCCTTCTCCTTCATTAAAGCTTTAATGCCAAAGCCTGCATCCTTTCAATCTATTAACCACTTCTACCAACATAACCATTTAAATTGCGTCCTACATATGCCTTCACTCCACTCACATAACCTGGATCTGCTTCAAAGATGGATTTCTATAGATTAAAAATAACATCAACTGTTTTTCACTAAATGATGTAGTCTTGATGCTAATTTAAACGAACCGAAAGTATTTAAAACAACCAAAAGACAACAACAACAACAATCGAGGAAGACGATCAAATCTTTCTCCATCTCATATATGGCAAAAGTATATTTATTAAATCAAAACAAGGGTCCTCACAGTATGGAAGGAGCGATTGAATTGCTTTCAACAGCATAGGACAGACCTCCTTGACTGGCTGGACCTCCTACAAGATAATTGATAACAGAGGTTGTTGGTAAGGCAACTAACTGCAAGATAAAGGTAAATTATCCCAGAGGCAACACAAGCACCTAGGTACCTGTAAAGATTTTTCATCGCTAGGAAAACCCGAAACTATCAACTGACGTATTATCTTTGAGCATAGAAACCACCTTTCACAGATTAAATAGAGCTCATCATGATGATGCTCAGAAGCATTTGAGGTTGTAATTTGAGCAAGGGAAGAGAAGCCATTTAGTATAGTCTGCATATCACTCTGCCAGAGATGCCAGCTGTAGTCAAAAAACTGGGATGATATCTGCCCAAACATCAGTGGAAAAGACATAGTAAGAATGGTGGCAGATTACCCATTGAAAAAGTAGAGCAATAAGGATAAATTGAAGAAAAAAAAAGGTTGCCTGAAGTTATAAAAATTTGAAAAACCAACCACCTTACTTATTTTTTACACTTTTGAACAATCAATTACATCCATAAACCATTTTCTGGCCAGTTACATTAATATTTTTTCTTTTCCATATCTCAAACAAAATCAAGGTCATCAAATCCCTTTGATCACCTCATTCTAGAGGAAATGCCAGTTGCAGATGTTTCAGCTTTAGCATGAATAGTAAGCACCTTTTAAAAGGTAATTTAGTTAGAGAAGGCACAAGCAAAAAACAAATAACATGAACTCTCACTTAAACTCAGTGAGCATCATTCCAAACTCAATAATCTGTACGACATCACGGATAGGTATATAACTATATATATTACAAAGAAGAAAAGGACAATATGTCTTATTCAAACCAAAATACAATATGGTAAAAACCACCAGAAAATAAGACATGTACAAAAATAATCAGGAAACATGAGAGGGTTCTTCAGCTGCTTAGCCTGGCTTGATTCTGAACATAACTGGCTTGCCAAGTAAACATTAGCTTGAACATTAAAACACACAAAATAATAAATGGTGACAAGGAAAACTTGGAAGCGAAAATAAACACACTTGCACACTTGACAAATTTAATACGACTGGTTTACCATATCTATGTGATCAATACGGAAACTGTCCTAGAAATAGTGTGCTGACAAACAAGATCAGTTGGTATGATGCCGTAGATCGCACCTAAGTGGCAGGTTGTTACGACATATTGAGGGTGAGGAAAGGAATGAGAAAATGTAAAAACAGCTTATACCTCCGCAAAGTTCCTTTGATCTGAAGTGAGCCGTTTGGTGGACAGCTCCTTCAATGTTCGGAAGAGAATCATAAAGATCCGGTGTGAACTAATAACATCTGCTGATTGAAGTTGTTGAGCTAAAACGGAAAAGAGCTCGGGCCTGATTAGGTAACCATGTGAGTCCCCCAATATATAGAACAAAAATTGATACATAATATTAAGCATGAACAAAAGAAAAACATGAACCAAAAGCAGTTGAGCATCAACTTTTGCAAAATATAAGTGTCACAAACAGTGGAATGAAAAGAAATGAACAGATAAATGGAGCAGTTCGAGATTTCTTAGAATGAAACAGTTCATTCTCATTTTGATCAGATAATCAAGCTTCCACATCAATAAGTCAATCATTTTCCAGAATCCATAAAAGGAATCTCTGTCCCTGGTGAAAGCCTATTTGATCTCTAGCTTGATTTATATGATCACATGATATATGCCACCAACTGAAGGATAGACATTTGCAAGAGACCAGGCTATGCAGAAGATCATATGCAAAAACCATGATTGTTGATTTATAATTTGCAAATTTTAAAACATCACATGAAATCCAATAAAGATAAGGCATCATGAAAACACAGCTAACTGGAAGCAAGAAAGCTGAAATCAAATATTATGGATATGAACAATACACAAGACTTTACACCAAAGTTAACAGAGTTGGAGCAGTAATTGAGGAGTACATGAGAAGAATACCATTCTTTGGGATAGTCAATGCGAGCTATTTTGGAGATTAGAACAGCCAGTGTCAAAGCAATCTGTGTTTTTTGAGGGAGAACAAAAAGTGCATTAAATGAGATGAAATAAAGGCAGCATAAGATTAGTCAAACAATAGTCACAAAGGCAATTTGAAGTTTAGGTCCCACCTGATAGTTCTCTTCTCTCAAGTGAGACAATAACTTTTGCCTCAAATGCGACTTCTCTTCATTGGTAATACCCCTGTAATAACTTCTTTTACATTAGGATTTACAAGGGAAGTAATTCTCAAAGAGAACCAAGTATTCTTACATACACATAATACAAGAGACGCATCCTTGCTAAGCATGCTATGACTGCAAGTTAATGTAGTAAGATGGTAACAAAATAAATACACAATTAAACGAAAAAATTGTCACTAGGAAGCAGGTATGCTATTATCATGCATTTATGCATACGGCAATATATCTTTTTTTTAAATGTACAAGATTAATAGGTTTAGGTTGTTCAGGTGAGTGTTGTTTTCTTCAACTCAGTTAGCTTTTTTTACTGTTTGGCTACATATCTTAGTGGAAGGGGAAGAGAAATTCATGTTGCTAACTCCAAGAGATAGTCATATGAAAGCTATGAAGTAATTCACATGGTTTTAAAAATCAAATGAGGTGTACGGCTCAAGGCAAGGCAGTCAAAAAAAGAACCTGAGGCATCACCTCTTAGTGCTTGCACGAAGCATGCACCTTGCATGGGAGAGGCTGTTGGTGAGGCTGTGAGGAATTCTAGGTATATGTGATTCTAGTATTTACTATTTAGATTAGGTATCTTCAGATAATCTATGTTACAAGGTAAGTATTTGTTATCTTATATTTAGTAGGATTCTAGTACACAGATTAAGTATGCTTAGAGATTTAATATTATTAAGAAAGCTTTTAGTTGTTTTTTATTAGGTTGCTTTATATGTAGTAGCTTAGACAGTTTTATGAGTATATGCACTGATTTAATCTAACATCAAATATATGACGGTTTTATGGTTGTTCTAAGTGCAAGCTTGGCTCTCATGTCCGATTCCTAGAGAAAGCAGGCATTATCTATCTTCATTGGCCATTCTAGCTTTGTTCATCCACTATTAGCCTTCCCTATCAGGTTGTACATCAATGTGGTATCAAAGTTAAAGCCTGGATTTTTTAAGTTTTAGGACTATATTATCTTGCTAAAGAACAAATTCGAATCTTCTCAAACCCTAACCTCTTCAGTTACTTCATAAATCTTTGTTCTTTCCCATCCAAAAAGCTTCAAGGGGGAAAGTAACGTTCAGATCAATTTTATCATTTACAACACAATCCATTACATAATTCTTCTCAGGTTGAACATTAACCACCTTCACATGAAGGTGGTTAATGTAAAATCCTGCAGATGGACTACAATCAGCATGAAGCTTTGTGTTAAAATTGTTGGGTAAAATAGGATACACAATAAACACAACTCCGAAGGTGATGACATTATTATATCTAACAGAAATCAAATATATTAAAAGTAGGATAATGTTTCTTATCATCAACATTCGAAAGAACACCAGGCAGAGCCAGGCAAGCTAGCACTTATCATTTAGGAAGATTGAGAGGAAGCCTAAGAAGAAGCATAAGCAGCTCCATTAAATATAAAAAATATAATTAATTTTAGATCATGTAAAAATATGAGAATAAAATTGTTGATGTTATATTATTTTGATACGAGTGCTTTTCTACACGACTACTTTCGTTGAATAAAGGGCTGGAGAGATTCCTTTCAAGTTGAGAAAAGCCGATCAATGAGCTCAAGTAGGAAAAAAAATTGTTCACATAAAACAGTTTTTAACTGAAGCAGTAGGAGCTAAGTAATCCTAGGGGGTCCAGTAAGCCGCCCTAACTCATTGATACGGTAGAGAACAATTAATGACTAGAAGACCCCTTGCGCGGCCCTAAGTGGGGTTTTATAGAAGACGGCTTATTAGTCCTGTAGAAATAAAATGCAATACCGTAGGAAAGAGTAAAAAAAACCAAAAAAAATCTAGCATTTTAAGTAAGGTATATATGTAACTAATGAAGAGTATCTTATTAGATCATTAGGGTTCGTATTTTCCTAATTGCATACTTCCTTATTCGTTACAGGTTGATTTGGAAATGATTAGGATCAAGTTTCCTAGTTCTAGAATTTTTGAGTTTTCTATTTTGTCATCTATTTAATATGGGATAATCCATGATTGCCTTTTACTTTGTGTCACGAGCTTTGCTCTTATGGCAAATCCACTACGTGGATAGGCATTATTTGTCTTCTCATTCCCCATTTTTCTCTAAACATGTCATATGTTTCTTTATTAACTTCATCTATTTCATTCTACGTCACATGTATAAATTAGACTTTTCTTATTTAATTGCTTCTCCCCTACTGACCTCTTTTTACATTGTTGTTGCTTGGCCATATATTCTTTCTCAAAATTTAATATTGCTATTGCTTACTCATTTCTAACTTTTCGATGTTTAGTGTGTCTGTTTTTCTACCTTTCTCACACTTTGCACTAGTCGGGGGTCTTCACGGGAACACCGTTCTACTCTTTATGGTAGAGATCAAAATCCTACCCACTCAGACCACCCCCCGGCTCGGATTTACAAAGCTCGTTTGGTTTGGTTTGGTTTATTCTTCATCACATCTGTTCTTTTTAGCTACATACCTTCTCCTGACTAAGGAGATGTCATAATCTTCACATATAAAATATCAGAGATAAAGCATGCAAAGCAAGTTTAATAGATAATGGCCTATGTTAGATTAGAAGTATCAGTTTCATATTATCCCATGCAGTTTAGAAACCACTTCAGGGTGTTTAGTATTCTTATATGATTCGTCATTGCACAATAGGTATTGGTCCACCAAAAGGGATCAATGTGATGATAGATAAGAAGGTATGGATATTTTCTATTGGGCGAGGGTTATCGATAAATTTGATCTAATAATCTTCCATGTCCACAAGATTTTCACATTATTAATATGAAGCACAAGACCATTTAGCTAAAATAGATGACTTACTGCGAGTCACGCTTGTTCCTCCAGTACCGATTGATACTGTTCTTGAAATACAATGATGCCATTAAACGAACATCCGTTTGAGATACCAAGTCCTTTGCAGTTATCACTTCCTGCACCATAAAGGATGTCAGAATGCAGACCACATTTGGGCTTTTGTCAATTTTATAGTGCAATGAAATAATAAGTAAAACATGTATGAAATGCTTATGATATTTTTCAACATTTCTATAACAAGTGACCACTTCATAAGATGCTAATTGAACATGACTTATAGCAAAACCCTAAAGTTTAAGAGAAATTGAAGGCTAAGATGATAAAAATTTCAACTACATTGGGATTTTAGCATGTACAACTGCCCTTCTTGACAAAAAAAATTGAAATGCAGGCGTTTCTTGATAACATTTCTGATAATAAAGTTCCAAAAATCAAGAATGTTGATTAAACTTACGCAATGTACACACTCCATGATATCTCAAACCCTAGAATAAAAAAAACGCCATCTAAAATCGTACCATTAGACAAGAAGAAAACCCCGGCAAGTTTTCGGACTGAGCAAGCGTTGATTCAGCAGGTTTGCGCAAGGCTTCATCGCCACTAAGTGAATTGGAAAGCAGTGTATACATCGCAGGTAAGTCAGAGACTGACAGTGCCATCCCAGCAGATTTTACAAAATTCTAGATAAAAAAGGAAAAGAAAGAAGATGAATCCGTAAGATGCAAAAAAGATCAAAGAACAAGTAAGATGCCAATTGAGAAAAACCTCTGGTAAAGAGAAATCATCACCTCTAGGGTTTATGGTGATAAATACAGAAGCGATTAGATATGGAAATTGGGGTTGAGTCAATAGTTGCTGACAACTAGGAGTAGCATAGCAATTCTTGGGGTATGAGAATGAGAATGAGAGCGCATGTGACGATGCTGATGATGATATCTTTGTATTTCTTCTTCTCTTTCCCGGACACCATTTCTATTTTCTACAGCTTTTTACATTCATATATGGAAATTAACCAAATAAACAAAGTCATTAATATTCCTTCCTTTTTAAATATTATAATTATAAAAATAATCGATATTTTTGTGTAATCTAAATCTATATCTATATTTATACTATATTATAAAGCATTTGGTAAAAACTTTTAAAAACTATTTTTTATGCATGATGTACTGTTTATTGACGCATATTACTTAAAATTCAAGAATACAAGTAAATTATGCATAATACAACTTATTAAAGCTCCATATTTGAATTCGTCTAACTAACTGCAGATAAACATAATCAAATACAATATAATCTTCTCATTTTAAATATAAAAAATCTAAAATATAATTAGAATAATAATTGAGTTMTAACAGAATACGTAATTATTATCTTTATAAAAAATATTATTAAATAAAAAATAAATTATTTCGTTAAATTAAATTATAAAAAAAATTGAGTTAAATAAATTACACAAAAAACTAGAACTTTTATACATTTAAAAAAAATGATATCTTCAAAATTATATTTTATTCAAAAATAAAACATTATCAATTTCTCAAAACCACATAAAACAGTATTATAACATCGATAAAGACAAATAATAAAATGAAACATAAAAATCGAGATACATCTCGTTGCATTGCATGAGTACCCTTCTAGTTATATTATAAAGCATTTGACAAAAACTCTTAAAAACTATTTTTTATACATGATGTACTGTTTATTGATGCATATTACTTAAAATTCAAAATTACAAGTAATTTTGCATAAGTACAACTTATTAAAGCTTCATTTTTAAATCCGTTTAACAAACTGCAGATAAACATAATCAAATACAAGATAAACATTCATTTTAAATATAGAAAATCTCAATTATAATTAAGATAATCACTGAGTTCTAACAGAATATTTAATTATTATCTTTATAAAAAATTATATTATTAAACCAAAAAAATTACTTTGTTATTAAATCTAAATTAACATATGATAAAAAATTGATCATTATTGTTTTCTTAAAATTACATAAAATCGTATTATAATATCGACAGAGATAAAGAATAAAATAAAACATTAAAATCGAGATGTATCTCGCTGCATTGCATGAATACTCTTCTAATACTTTTAATAGACGTGTTCTTAACAAAATGTTTTCTAAAAAGAAATTTAAATTGAATATTGTAGTTGGATCAAGTGTATAAATTGACATAATGTATTAAATTATTTGAAATATGTTTCTCTAGTTACAAAAATAGTTTATTAAGAAATAAACAAAATTATACAAAATACTTTTTTTAAATATATATAATAATAAAATATCATTTAATGTGAAAAAATATGTAAACTATCATTTATATAATAAAAAGCAAATCATGAATATTATATATAATATTTTGTATATATTTATATTATATTACAAAATATATTTAATAAAAACTTCTAAGAATTATTTAATTACGTATTAATTATTGTTTATTGATGCATATTACTTATAATATATATGGGTACATTTTATTAAAACTCTATTTTTGAATTCGTGTAATTAACTGCAGATAAATATAATCAAATACAGAATAAACATCTCATTTCAAATATAAAAAATCTAAAATATAATTAGAATAATAATTGAGTTCTAACAGAATAATTAATTATCATCTTTATGAAAAAATTATATTATTAAACCAAAAATAAATTACTCTTTTATTAAACCTAAATTGAATTAAACAAGTTACACAAAATACGAGAATTTTTAGATAGTTAATTTGATACTATTAATGATATTTTTTTCATTTTTTATGAAATCTTCAAATTTATATTTTATTCAAACATAAAAACATTATCGCTTTCTTAAAACCATATTATAACATCGACGAAGACAACGAATAAAACGAAACATTAAAATCGAAATGCATCTCGTAGCATTACAGGAATACCCTTCTAGTAATATTAAAAGACATGTTCATTTACAAACCATTTAATTCTAACAAACTATTATATTATTTATTACTATATAATATTATATATTTTAATATCTAACAATATAAAATATTATATATAATATTATATAATATGATATATATGATATTTTATTATCTATACTATATTATAAAGCATTTGGCTAAAACTCTTAAAAACTCTTAAAACTCTTAAAAACTCTTAAACCCGTTCATCCCTATCCGATTTTATCCCATGTCTGAATTCGTATAACTAACTGCAAATAAACACAATCAAATACAGGATAAACATCTCATTTTAAATATAAAAAATCTAAAATATAATTAGTATAATCATTATATTCTAACAAAATACTTAATTATTATCTTTATAAAACTTATAATATTAAACCAAAAATAAATTGTTTTATTATTAAACTTAAATTAAATTATATAAAAAAATATTATATATTATAAATCATTTGACAAAAACTCTTAAAAACAGTTTTTTATGCGTAAAGTAATATTTATTAATGCATATTACTTAAAACTCAAGATTACAAGTAAATTGTTCGTAGGTACAACTTATTAAAGCTCAATATCTGAACTCGTGTAACTAACTGCAGATAAACATAATCATATACATGATAAACATCTCATTTTTAAATATGAAAAATCTAAAATATAAATATGATAATCATTGAATTCTAACAGAATACTTAATTATTATTCTTATGAAATTTATAATATTAAACCAAAAATAAATTATTTCATTATTAAACTTAAATTAAATCACATAAAAATGAGAACTTTTAAATAGTTGATTTGATATCATCATTGATATTTTTTTTTCAAATTCTTATGATATCTTCAAATTTATATTTTATTCAAAAATAAAATCATTATTATTTTTCTTAAAAACACATAATCTATACTATATTATAAAGTATTTGACAAAAATTCTTAGAACTATTTTTTATGTGTACAGTACTGTTTATTAATGCATATTGCTTAAAACTCAAGATTACAATTAGATTGTGCGTAATTACAACTTATTAAAACTCCATATTTGAATTCGTGTAACTAATTGCAGACAAACATAATCAAATACAAGATAAATATCTTATTTTAAATATAAAAAATCTAAAATATAATTAGGATAATTATCAAGTTCTAACAAAATAATTAATTATTATATTTATAAGAAAAATATATTATTAAACCAAATATAAATTACTTCGTTATTGTACCTAAATTAAAATAAAATAAAATAAATTGAATAAAAAAATTACACAAAAAATAAGGAATTTTTAATAGTTAATTTGATACGAATATCGATATATTTTTGTTACACATAAAGTACTGTATATTGATGCATATTACTTAAAATTCAAGATTACAAGTAATTATGCATAAGTACAACTTATTACAAATTGATGTTTGAATTGTATAAATAACTGCGGATAAACATAATCAAATAGATGATGAACATCTTATTTTAAAATATAAAAAATCTAAAATATAATTTGAATAATTATCAAGTTCCAACAAAATAAATAATTATTATTTTTACAAAAAAATTATATTATTAAACCAAATATAAATTACTTCATTATTGTACATAAATTAAATTATAAAAAAATTGAATTATTGAGGAATTTCAAATAGTTAATTTGATACTAAGATCGATATATTTTTGTCAAATTTTTATGATATCTTCAAACATATATTTTATTCAAAAATAAAAACATCATCGCTTTTTCAAAATTACATAAAGCCATATTATAACATCGACTGAGATAAATAATAAAATAAAATATTAAAATCACGATGTATCTCGCTGCATTGCGCGAGTACGCTTCTAGTATATATATATACTAGTAATATACCTGTTGTATAGGATGTAAATTTTCTTGTGAATTATAAATAAAAAAATTAATGCGACAACTAATTAAAAATTATGTTTGAAAATATCTCAAAAAATAGCCACGGATCTAAAACAATTATATTATAATTATCTGTAAAAATTAAATATTGTGTATTTTCATGAGACATTCTAGTAAGTACTAAAGTTGAAATCTGTAAGCAGGTAACTCAGTTAAGAAACTTGAACCAAACAAGAATGGTGAGCAAGACTTAACAAATTCATATCACACAAATTTTTAATTGATAAACTAAAAGGCTTTTGGCGTAACAGTATCGTAGTCTTTTGTAATAGTCTGATTATTATTTTTGATATATATATATGTGTGTATATATTTATTTATAAATATATATATATATATATATATGTGATATGTATGTGTGTGATATGGAAATGTGTGTGGGGGAGTATTTTAATTAAAGAAAAGAGGGGGAGTCGGCTAGTGAGCCGCCCCTCACTTCCTCTTTGGTTGTGTATGTATAAATAGAAATTGGTGAAGAGAAAACACACACAACACCTTCCTTATTTAGAAATTTTCTCTCAAGTATTAAAGAATCTGCACAGAAACAAGCAGAGGAAAGTTTTAAAGCTTTGATTCTCATTTCTAAAAGGTGAGTGTTTAGAGCTTTGAATATGAATTGCTTATATATGATCTGATAAGCATTTTAGAACT